AAACCATATATTTTTTAATTTACTTAAATTTTTAGAAATTTATTTTAGTATTATTTCATTTATTTCTTTTCCTATTTTATTATGGTTATTATTTTTTATTTTGGAAACATATTTTAGTATTTTTATTTTTTTTTTTCTGTAATTTAATTTTGTTTTAATTTTTAGTCCTTATTGTTATAAAAAGAAAAATATATAGATTGTTATTTGACTAAATCTTTGAAAAACGTATTGCTAAAAGGCAAACAGAATAACGCTGATGTCAGAATTGTCTTACAAAAGACTTTTGTCTTTCGAAAGACTGTGGTGAGTTTAAACACAGCTATCAGATTTGCCTTAACCTAACCTAACTTAACCACTCTCGGAAAACAATTACATACATATATGATTTGAAAAAAAAATGTATTGCATACTTTTAGGAGAAGCAAAAAAAAATTTACATAGAGTAAAAGACTTGAAGCGGAGTTCTTTCCTTAACGATTTTAGAGTCGTTCACGCCGAAAGAATTCATTTGGGCATTTAAGTTGCAAATGCATCTTCTTAGCTGACCAATTAATTTGTAATACATTATACGCTGACACGCAATATCTACCCTGACTTTTTTTAGGCATCCAATGCGTATTTTTCTTTAAGAGCCACAAGATAATATAACTAAATTGTGTGCCTAACATCGCGGCGCACAGCCTGCGGTATGTAAATACAGTAGGTATAAACATTTAAATATTTATTATGGCACCTACATACATACATAATTCCAAGGGATTCTGTAATATAAAAAAACTTTCACTAAATGCACTTTTACAAAAGTGGGCAATAAATCGCATAGGGGATTATATAACTTAAGCCACACGGTAAAGCTAACCACATTTAAGCACAGAATTGACCGAGACACCAATTCATTTATGCAGTACATCAACAAATACATATTAAACCGTCTACTGGATTATGAAAATTTACAACACTTTAAGTTAACTAGCTGCAGCATACCTTGAGGCGTACAGACATTAAACATGCAAACTTAATATACATACATATGTACATGTGTATGTGTGCGTAAGTGCACAAAGATCAGTATTTAAACCAGCATTAAATTCAATTAGTTGCAACAAACAGCTGTACGCAGGTATTTTTATTTTACTCCAACCGTCGACCAGTCAACGCTGAACACTGAAAAAACGTTGGTGGGAGTTGTGCGGTGAAATGAAATAGCAGCAGCAGAGCGCCATAACTTTCCATTAAAATGCTGCTTTTTGCCCACAATGGTACGCTAATATCCTTTAACTTAACCGTCGAATGTCTGCTACGCTAAGCTGACCAACGCTTTATGCTACTGCCGCCACAACAACAAACGACAAACAACAACAATTATGCGCGCTCGCAGCAATTAAATCGTTGAATTTATTAGCCACAGGACAATAGTGGCAAAAGGACCGCTGCTATTCAACCAAAGGGTACTTCACCATCACGCAGCAAAGTGATCACATACAATCAGGCGCTGTTAGTTAGACTTGCAGGAGCATACAGTTGAGTGAGAGACAATGCAGAGCAGCGCGCGATTGGCGGAGAACAAAAGCACAAGCTGCTGTTTTGTGTTAAATAAATAAATACAAATAAGTAAAAGGGAAAAGAAAAATAGTCAAAACATAAATTCATAGCAGCATTTTAGGGTTGCAAGCAATAAAATGGGGAAACGAAAGCTGCGTAGTGTTAAGTGAAAGTTATGGTGGAAGACAAAAGGAAGCTGGAGCGCGCACCCAGAAGGAAAGTCAAAACGAAAGTGACAAGTGCACAAGTATATTAGATGCAGACATGCAGACAAACAGAAACTTAACGCAATAAACAAGCGCTGAAGAATCGCGCGCTGCAAAACCTAAGTGGATACCTGTTTTGGGGTTTTTAAAGTTATATGTATGTACATACTGAGTACCAGAGTAGAATACAAATAAACAAAGAAATTAAAATAAAACATGTTATCAAATAATATTTCTGTTTTCTTTTAATTTCCTTAATGGATTATGGTGGCAGCGCGTTGTTGGGTTCGTGAATGCCAAGCGCCGAAAGACAAAACAATGCTTTTGAAGGAAGGAAAAAAATCAATTACCGAATAGGCTAACAAATATTTGGTTAGGTAAAATAAAAACAATGCTTTGGCATTTGGGGCGCAAGCGTAATTCGATGCGGAATGCAAGTATGTAAATAAGGGCGAGGAAATAATA